GCAAAAAAATCAATGTGTAACTATAGTCACGTGTGCCTGTAATGATCTGGCACAGCTTTTATTGCATGGACTTTGGATGTATTGTTTGGGGGAAATTGGTCAGAAATGTTCCTAATGGAGATGAAGCAAGAGAGAATTCTGTGCCAGTTAGGCAGCAGTACTCTACTCTGGTATTTTTGTGTTGCTGGTTTTCTCACTTTGTTTCGTTTTTCTTACTTGCTTGCATCATACAGACTAAGTACACGTTTTAAATTTTAAAGCCGAGATTCTACAGTGTTTAACAAACGTATCTGTCTGCTTCTGTGAATGAAAGTTTTAGTAACAGAGCAAACAAGTAAGGAAATTAATATTTTTCTGTAAAGTATCCTGGTTTGGATTTTACATAATCGCTTTAAAACCCTGGGGCGTAGGTATTAAAGGTCAGTAGCCAGATGGGCACTCTGTGCAGCAGCAGAATATCAAAATACCTGTACTTCAGTGTGGTGTTATTCTGTCTCTTCCTTAGGAGGCTGGATAGTTCATACATTAGGCCAATAGTTGTCCGTTCAGTATGTTTTTCTCATTTCATTCGAAACACCAGGCATTCCAAACCATCTGTGGGTTCACAGCAGAGCTATTCATTCTTTTTAGGGGAAAAAAAAAAGTACTTACTTCCCTGCTTCCAAAAAAACCAACCCACTAAACAAAGCAAAAACTAAAAGGAATTTTTTTTTTTTGAGGAAAACAGTTAGCTAATGGCTGGGCTAATTTGGATGTTCATACTTTTAATTAAAAAGAAAATTCAATGAAAGTAGATTTTGTTCATTTTCAAGTGGGAGGTAAAAATAAATACTAAAAAAAAAAATCTGGACCCCTGTCTACATTGAGAAATACCCTCTCTTTCATATTGGAGGAAAGGATGGAAAACTGTAAAAGACAAGCAGAATGTGAAACTCGGACTGAAAGAGTGCCAGCAGATCAAGCAGACTTCAAGGGAGCCAGAATACGCCGAAAGAGAACTTTTTGATTAAAAAAGGTACAGCCAGTCAGGCTGGTTTTCCCCAGGCTTCCCTCAGCAGCTGCTGTCATGTCGGCAGCCCGAGGTGGCTTTTTTCAGCCCGGTTCCCTTTTTTACCGTGGTCCCTGAGTTTTTCTGATTTGGCCTATATTGGCTGTTGTCATGCTGATGGCAGCAGCCTTAACGGGCAAGTTTTGAGGGAAAATTTGAGTTTCCGAGTTCTGCCGAGCCGTCTGGTTTAGGATAGCAATTCCTAATCTGCAAGTTTTTTGGTAGCTTGTGAATTTTGGCTCCTTGGAGTCCTCCTGTTTCCTTGCCCTCCTCTCCCACCGTGGGACCCGGAGCAGCGGCTGGCACCGTGCCACAGAACAGGTTTGAAACCAGTCCGGGAACGTTAAGGCATTTTAAGGAATTCCAGGAGGAGGAGAAGCGTTTTTAGCACACATTCTTGAATTAAAGCCTCGACCCCCAGAGTTAACCTCGCAGGAAGGATTGTGGCATCTTTTACACATTTTTTGTTGTTTAATGGGAAAGTGGAGAAATGTCCCCGGGAGTCAGGAAAGCCGCTTTGTCTCCCCGAGTGCTTGATCGGTCTGGAGTGTGAAATCACCAATTACAGTTAAATTATTTCATGTCAAAGTCTACCGCTTGACGCTGTTTTTCCAACTGGAAAATAACGGCCTTCAAATATAAAATGCGGTCATTCAGGCCACTCGCTGATGTTTATGGAGATCGTTTTTGCACAGCGCTGTCGGTGGTTCGATCCGATTCATAAAATAAGCTAATCAAATCATGCTTGGCTCCCAGACCAGAGCTTCTCTCCTCTGGACTCAAGGATGTGAAAGCAGCTGATGTTCTCACAGGAACTGCACCCGACCCACCTGGGCTTGGACCTAAGAATTCCCTCTGGCGTTACCCGGGAGCCTGGGGCTCTGGTCACAGCCAGCAGGACCTGAACGGTAGGAAAAGGCGCCAAGCGCCCTGCTTTGAAGGTATTTTTGCTTGAAGCAAGTCATTTGCCTTTGTTTTCCTTTGGAATTAGAACTTTTAAAGACAAGTAAAGCGTAGTCTACCCCGACTTGTGGAAATTCCTTCATCAACACCTGTCTTGTCATTAGCACTTTAAGGAAGCAAATACAACTTCCATGTCAAGGGGCAAGGAACGGATGAGCTGTTAGATTTGTGTTTGTGCAGTGCTTGAGCATTTCCAGGTTTACTGATGCATCAGAACCTTTCGAGTGAGCCGTGATGAGCAGAGCTATGAGAGCGAGGAACGTGTGATGTATCGTGTCGGTGTGGCTGGGCAGGGCGAAGCCGAACCGAATGAAACCACATCTATAGCAATTAGATGCTCTTACTTACAGGAATGAAGCCATTTAGCCTCTTGAGAATGTATTATTATTTACCTCCTGCAGAGTTCCCCATGTTGAGTGGATTTGAGAAATTAGAAAAAAGGAAGAAGAGTGGGGGAAAAAAAAAAACCAACAAAACCTACATTTTCTCTTCCAACTATCTGCAGCTTTCTAATATGTTGTTTTGTTACAGGAGCTCTCAGCTGGCCAGTAACACGTAACCTGAGGGTGAGCTATTTGCTGCAGACTGTAAAATTCGGAATGAACTGCCTTAGAGGCTCTTATCAGTTTTCTAGCTGTATGTGTTTCCATAAGAGTAGAATTGCTGTATGAGGCATGCAGTTATATTCTGCATGTGGGGTGGGAGACCCAAAAGACAGGATTTTTTTTTTTAAGCTTGTGTATGAATCTTTAAGAGCGTTAGCAGATATTTTCTGATGGCAAAGAATGTTGTCTCTGCTCCTGAAAGAGGTGGTGAAATGTCATCTGCATCTGTGTGAGGAACAGTGGAGGTTTCACAGCAGCTTTAAGAGGAGAGCAGCTCGCTTTGCTACAGCTGAAGCATAACATGCCGAAGCAAACTTATCAGCAGAAAATGGTGGCAATACTCAGAAATTCCCTGGCTTGTGAGTATTTAACCTTTTAGAGGCATGAGCTTGCTCGCTCTCCTGGTGACACATGCACATGAGGCACTCGGATTTAAGGTCTTCTGGGTCCCAGAGCTGAACCTCAACCAGAATCCCCTTTTATTATCTTTCCCTCTTGAAGCGCCGCAGGCAAATGCGTTTTTCCTGAGCGTTTCTCGAACAGCACGATCTTGTTCTGCTGAACACGATGGGTGCTTTTCCTCGGGATTGATCGACTGGTTCTCCTGCATTTGCAATCCAGTCTGGTCGTCCTCTCCGACCGGATTCACTGTATTAGAAATGGGTTCATCAATAGCCACTACCTGTGCCTGATCGCTTTTAAATGGGCCCCTGCTGACCTGCTGCTCTTACCTGCAGAACCTACGCTCTGCTTTTTGAAATGCGCTCACCTTAGCAGAGGCTTCGGAGTTCACGTGCTGTGTGGAAAGCAAAACAGCCTTTCCTTCTTCCAGCTCCTCTCGATGGACGGTGTGTGGACAGTAAGTGCTGTCCCTTCAGCTGCTGGGCGGGGGTGGCCCTCACAGCTGGGATATCATCGCCGTGTCAAAACCTGAAAAATCATAAGAGGAACAGAGAGAGGCTTTGATTTTTCCCTGTCATCAGGCCACGTCATAATTGGTTTTTATTTAGCAAGCTCATCTGGAGAGTGTTACAGGGCTGGGCACAAGGCAGCTACCAAATCCTTGTAATTTTATAAGCACGTTAGACTGACGATAGCAGGAGCCACGTTTCCAGCACGTATGAATAAACCAGCCCTCCTTTCCCTAAAATGCTCCCACGTTTGAAGTCTTTCTCAATACAGTCAGAACTCTTATCCCTGGGTGCTGGGCACGAGGCAGCTACCAAATCCTTGTAATTTTATCAAGCACATTAGACTGACGATAGCAGGAGCCACGTTTCCAGCACGTATGAATAAACCAGCCCTCCTTTCCCTAAAATGCTCCCACGTTTGAAGTCTTTCTCAATACAGTCAGAACTCTTATCCCTGGGTTGCTCAACAGCTCTGTGACTTAATAGCTAGCAAATGGTTCAGAGTTATGAATGGCTGTTTTGTTTAAAATCCAATAGCTTTTTGTTTCTTTCTTTTTTTTTTTTTTTTTTTTCTTTTACACAGAAGCCTCTCTGGGGCACTTCTCTGCTTGGGCTTCACCAGATTTTGTCTTTATGGAAACTTATGTTGTCATCTTTGTAGTGATTTCGAACATTAACCCTCACCAGGGAGATGGAGTGGTGGGGAGGTGTAGGTACAGCAAGGAGCCGGGAAGAGAAGGCGAGAGGCAGAAGGGATGAGGGTGTAGACTGAGAAGCTGTAGGGCAGGAGAAGGCGTTGGGGATGCCTGCCAAGAGCAGGGCAGTTCACAGCATCCTCAGCCACTGGCAGCATCTCTGTCCCTGCTGGGTTGGTTTTGGGTTTTTTTCCATTTAGGAGAGGATGTCCTGCTGAGATGGATGGCGTCCTCAGATGGATTTCCTGCATTCTTAACGCTGGTTTTGTGCTGTGGGTAAATGACTTAGTATGATTGAGTTATGTCTTAGCTAGACTTAGTATGGTCAGTTATTTTAATCTGCTGATAAAAGCGTTTGTGTAAATGTGAATTGATACTTCCCTGCCAAAGGCCTGCTGGCATTTAGAAGCTGGCACCTCTGTGTTTCAGTAGCACAGTGCTAAGCGTGGAAAACTCACGGGTTGAGCCATATAAAATTCTGACTAGATTTAAAGTCCATGCTCTTGCTTTTCCTTGGGAAGGGGCAGAATGGGAAGGAAAGTTGCTGTTCGCACAAGGTAAGGGAGGATGGGTGGGAGATGGCGCAGAGGGGACGGATGCCAGGGGGAGAGGCAGGAGAGGGAAGGGGTCTCTGCTCCCACACTTGGCCTCCCCCAGACCCCCCTGACCCCACGTCCAAACGTCACGCTGGTGCTGGAGATACCTTCACCAAGCTCTCGTGGATTCCCGGCGTCGGGCGAAGGAATGCTCTGCCCTGGCCGCGGCCCTGGCGTTAACCATGTTGCTTTGTTTACTCCAGATACACTTTATCCTGCTGTTCAGTCGGCAGGGGAGATTAAGGCTTCAGAAATGGTA